ATAGGGTAAATAAGCATACCAATGTGCTATGAAGCCATTGGCAATATCCATTTTGCTCTTCAAATTCACAGAGACCTAACTCTAACCCTAAGTGGGCTTGGCCCCCAATGGGATTTTCCCATGTATTTTACAAGGAAACGTAGATAGAGACAGCACAGAACATCCATGAACTCCAACAACCAATCAGAAGTCATGAGGATTTCTTAAGTTCACAACACAGTCGCAAGCGTAGTTTCAGCTGAGGAAGTGTGAGCATTCTAGACCAAGCTAATTCCAAGAGCATTAGAGAATTCCTAGAAGCTTGGCACCCAGAAAAATTAGCCATCTACAGAAACAGAGAGATAAAGCAGATTTACACACCATTCAAAGGAGGAAATAAAACAGCTAAGAAGAAACAAGAAGATCAGATCACATCTCATCCAGTATCCTACAGCCTTAACTTTTTATTATCACTTTTGAATGGTTTGTATTATTATTATTATTATTATTATTATTATTATTATTATTATTATTTGTAAATTATTATGGTTTGTAAATTTAATTTATCTGTCTATTGATGGATAATTTGTCTGGGTGCCAAGATTCCAAGAATTCAATTTTTGGGATTTGATTTTATCATGACGTAACTGACATCAGTTACACCATGATAATGTCAAATCCAAAAAAACATACCCAAATCTTCAAGAATAAGAATATTGCAATCTGAAGTGATCTGAATTAGAGTTCTTGATCAACTATTAGGTTCTCCATGTTTCCTAGTTCAAAGTACTATGTGGGGAAACGATATGTCGACTTAATAATGCTGTCCCCAGCGGAAAATTATCATCACTATAAGGGAGGAAACAGATACTATTAAGAAAGCAGAGGGAAGGGAATAATTATATGAATAGAATAGAATAGAATAGAATAGAATAGAATAGAATAGAATAGAATAGAATAGAATAGAATAGAATAGAATAGAATAGAATAGAATTATTGGCCAAGTGTGATTGGACACACAAGGAATTTGTCTTGGTGCATACGCTGTCAGTGTACATATAAGAAAAGATACATTCGTCAAGAATCATAAGGTACAACACTTAATGATAGTCATAGGGAACAAATAAGCAATCAAATCATATTGGGAAACAGCCAATATAAATCTTAAGGATACCAGCAACAAGGTTACAGTCACACAGTCGTAAGTGGGAGGAGATGGGTGATAGGAACGATGAGAAGATTATTAGTAACGCAGACTTAGTAACTAGTTTGACAGTGTTGAGGGAATTAGTTGTTAAGCAGAGTGATGGCGTTCAGGAAAAAACTGTCCTTGTGTCTAGTTGTTCTGGTGTGCAGTGCTCTGTAGTGTAGTTTTGAGGATAGGAGTTGAAAGAGTTTATGTCCAGGATGTGAGGGGTCTGTAGATATTTTCACAGCCCTCTTTTTGATTCGTGCAGAATACAGGTCCTCAATGGAAGGCAAGTTGGTAGTAATTGTTTTTTCTGCAGTTCTGATTATCCTCTGAAGTCTGGGTCTGTCTTGTTGGGTTGCAGAACCAAACCAGACAGTTATGGAGGTGCAGATGACAGACTCAGTAATTCCTCTGTAGAACTGGATCAGCAGCTCCTTGGGCAGTTTGAAATTTCTGAGTTGGCGCAGAAAGAACATTCTTTGTTGAACTTTTTTGATGATGTCTTTGATGTTAGGTATCCATTTTAGGTCTTGAGATATGGTAGAACCTAGAAATTTGAAGGTCTCTACTGTTGATACTGTGTTGTCTGGTATTGTAAGAGGGAAGAGTTAATCCCCCATCTCTTAAAAACAAAGGTTCTAGAAATGCATTTTAACAATGTCTGCTCTTCAACATAAAAATAATTTTTAAAAAGCACAGGCAGTTAACATTTAAAGGTCAGGGTTACGAAGGGCTCTTCTAATAGGCATTGTTTTGGAATTTCAGTCCATCACAGACTGAGAATTTTTTGTTTTGTTTGTTTGAAAGTGTCTCTTTAAAAGGTATTGTAACAATCCCAGTCTCGACACATAATTTCAGTTGTGTGATGATGAAAAATATTGATTCCAGACAGAGTTACCTGGTAACACTTTAACACTGAAGCCTAAAAGCTGTTCTAAGAGTATAACTTAATACAGGTAGTCCACGACTTAACGGCAGCTCATTTAGAGACTGGTTCAAAGTTAGGATAGCACTGAAAAAACGGACTTATGACCATTGTTTCACAACCGTTGCAGCATCCCGAAAGGTCACATGACTAAAAATTCAGATGCTTGGCAACTGACTCATATTTATGACGGTGACATTGGCCCCGGGTCATGCAATCCTTTTTAGCAACCTTCTGACAAGCGAAATCCATGGGGAAAATTCACTTAGCAATTGTATTACTAACAACTTCAGTGATTCACTTAACAAACGTGGCAAGAAAGGTCGTAAAAATGGGGCAAGGCTCACTGAACAAATGTCTCACTTAGCAACAGAAATTTGGGGCTCAATTGTGGTCGTAAATTGAGGACTACCTGTATGGAGCCAAGACTTCCAAGGATTTATCCCCAGATTTTTGTTAGCATTTTTAATGTGTATGATATCCAGTCCTAAGACATGAGGGGTCTTTGATGCACTCCGAGCTTAGTTATTTTCTTGCAGACATTTCATTACCCAAACTAGGTAACATCATCAGTGCTAGTAAGGAGTGGGATTTGCTCTGAGTTTATATTCTGGTGGCTTACCCAGTCAGTGTTTGGGGCTGCGGTCTTAGAGGCTCTTTGGTTAGGCCAGGGGTCTGCAACCTTAAACACTCAAAGAGCCATTTGGACCCATTTCCCACAGAAAAGAAAATACCAGGAGCCACAAAACCCTTCCGTGCCTGACTATTTCTTGAGTAGCCACAAAACTAGCCTATGAAGTTGAATTAAATGTTCTGTTTTCTTCTGAAACTTTTCTTTTCTTGGATTTATCCATGGTTGGTCTACCGGGGGTTGTTTACTTCTTGACTGTTGATCTGACGTTAATCTTGGAGTTCATCCATGCTCATCTGGATATGTTGATTGCTGGTGAAGAACTGTTTTGTTGTTGTTGTTCCCTTTTTGGCTCATTGTCTCTTTTGCACAGTATGTAGATATGGTTCATGTCTATTTATTTCTCTTTCCTACATTTAGGCAAGAAAAACAAAATGCACAGGTGCAGTATATGTGCAGTATACCTTGCTCAATAGTAGTAATTGTGAGAGGGATCTTGGAGTCCTAGTGGACAACCATTTAAATATGAGCCAGCAGTGTGCAGCAGCTGCCAAAAAAGAGGCACGATGGTCGCCACGATGTAAAAAAGATGTGGAGACTCTAGAAAGAGTGCAGAGAAGAGCCACAAAGAGGATTAGGGGACTGGAGGCTAAAACATATGAAGAGCAGTTGCAGGAACTGGGTATGTCTAGTTTAATGAAAAGAAGGACTAGGGGTGACATGATAGCAGTGTTCCAATATCTCAGGGGCTGCCCCAAAGAAGAGGGAGTCAAGCTATTCTCCAAAGCATCTGAAGCATAGGTGGGATTCAGCCGGTTCTCTCTGGATTGGGTGAACCCTTAGCGGCGACTGCAGGAGGCTCCGCCCACCCTAGACATAATGCGTGAGCAGTGCGCACGCACAGAAGGCTGTGCGCTCTCACATTTGCGAACTGGTAGGGAAAATAAGTGAATCCCACCTCAGATCTGAAGGCAGGACAAGAAGCAATGGGTGGAAACTAATCAACGAGAGAAGCAAATTAGAACTAAGAAGACATTTCCTGAGAACAATTAATCAGTGGAACAACTTGCCTCCAGAAGTTGTGAATGCTCCAACACTGGAAGTTTTAAAGAATAGGATAGAATTCTTTATTGACCAAGTGTGATTGGATACACAAGGAGTTTGTCTTGGTGCATACGCTCTCGGTGTACATGAAAAGATACGTTCGTCAAGAATCATAAGGTACAACACTTAATGATTGTCATAGAGAAACAAATATAAATCTTAAGGTTACAGTCATAAGTAGGAGGAGATGGATGATAGGACCGATGAGAAGATTGATAGTAATGCAGACTTTAGTTAGCTTGGAAGAGGTTGGATAACCATTTGTCTGAAGTGGTGTAGGGTTTCCTGCCTAAACAGGGGGTTAGACTAGAAGACCTCCAAGGTCCCTTCCAACCAGTGGTGAAATCCAATTTCTTTTACTACCGGTTCTGTGGGCGTGGCAGGGGAAGGATAGTGTAAAATCTCCATTCCCACTCCATTCTAGGACCAGCCAAAGGTGCTATTTGCCGGTTCTCCTAACTACTCAAAATTTCCGCTACTGGTTCTCCAGAACCTGTAAGAACCCGCTGGATTTCACCCTTGCTTCCAACTCTGTTATTCTGTGTGTTAAGCCTTCCCTGAATGCAGTGGCTCATAAAGTTACTGCTCCAATTTTTTTTTATTACACTTTTCAGAAGTCTTTTTAATTTTAGCACCCCAGGACCAGTGCGCCAAAGACTAAATTTTTATAGCTTAGAGCTGGCCCTGCCCGTCAGCCTTCTCAGAGGGCATTGCTGCCCTTTTTCCTAATTTTAAGGGGAGTTGTCATAGGACAAACTCCAGACCCCCAAAAACTGCACTTAAAAAGTTACAGGCCAATTCCTGCAAACTTTTAGAAAGCTGACTTGGCTCAGTGGGCTGAGGAATTTAAATTATTCTTCTAAAGAAGGATTTACATTTCTTCTTCTTTAGAAATTTAACTTTCTAAAACAGAAACCCTGCTTCCATCTCTCCCGGCTGGAACTGAGACTTAAATCCCTTCAAAGCTTAAAGAAGCAAAAAAAAGCAACCAACAAATCACCCCCCACCCCGGCCTAGACTCCACCCGAATGAAACGCTCGCCTGAGGAGAAGCCTGCCTTTTATAGAGCGCTGAAGCCCCGCCCACCGACCCGCCGCTCTCAAACGGCCTCGGGGCTGGCCTCCCAGGAGGCGGGGCCAAGCGGGACCGGAAATCCGGGAAGGACCGGGCGGAAGGGAGGGCGGGAAGGAGGCGGTGCCCGGTTTTGGATTGAAGGCGAGGGGGCATCTCTTCCCTTTGCCTCGCTTTGTTGGGTAATAAGATGCAATGATGATATTAATAAGAATGGTAATAACAATTGCTTTTTTTAAGCCCTGTTGGGGGGGGGGGCTTTATAAGCCTGTGGGGGGCGTCTCCTCCTTTTTTTTTTTTAACCCTTTCCTGGATTGTTTTGATTTTTTTGCACCAAGGAGCTAGTCCTCTGGATCTTGCAAGGATTTCTGCAGCTGCCCAGGAGCTTTTGGAAGGGGAAGGGCAGGCAGGGTGGAAGCGGGATCTGGCTCAGATCAGATCAGGGTGGCTTTCTTTTTTCCCTCCCTCTGATCCTACTACCCCCACCCCCACCCCATCCCGTGGGTGACTCGTTGTGTAATTGTGTGATGATGGCAAACCCGTTGTGTAATTTCTGGATCTACAGCAGTAGCTTCGGGTCTTGGGGGTGGGGGTGGGGGGGGGTAATGCAAAGACAGGAAGGCCACCACCTGCTGCCAACTTTGCAATTGTTTAAAGAGCCCAGAAATTACCATAATTTTAGAATAGAATAGAGCTGGAAAAAGGGTCCTTGGAGGTCTTCTAGTCCAGCCCCCTGCCCAAGCAGGAGAATCTATACCAGTGGTTCTCAACCTTCCTAATGCTGCGACCCTTTAATACAGTTCCTCATGTTGTGGTGACCCCCAACCATAAAATTATTCCTAAAACCATTGAAAATATGTGTTTTCCGATGGTCTTAGGCGACCCCTGTGAAAGGGTCGTTCGACCCCCAAAGGGGTCGCGACCCACAGGTTGAGAACCACTGATCTATACCATGTCAGACAAGGGGCTGTCCAGTCTCTTCTTAAAAACCTCCAGTGATGGAGCGCCCACAATTTCTGGTGGCAAGCCGTTCCCGATGGTTAATTGTCCTCCTCACCGTTAGGAAGTTTCTCCTTAGTTCTAGGTTGCTTCTCTCTTCGTTTAGTTTCCATCCGTTGTTTCTTGTCCTGCCCTCTGGTGCTTTGGAGAATAATTAATAGAATAGAATAACAGAGTTGGAAGGGACCTTGGAGGTCTTCTAGTCCAACCCCCTGCTTAGGCAGGAAATATAAATATCCCTCAGGTTTAGTAGCCATCAAAGCTTTTCCCAGAATTACACTTGTAACAGGAAGTTTTTTTCTATGGGTAGAGACCCCATAGATTGTATAAGAGTGTGAGTGTGCATGCATGGCTTCAAGTCTGCTTTTGACTAGTCCCTGCCGTTTTCATGACAAAGTTTTTTTTTGGAATTTGGTTTGCCCTTGCTTGCTTTCTAGGGCTGGGTGGGAGTGACTGGCCCAAAGTCCCCCAGCTGGCTTCGTCCCCAAGGCAGGAGGGCCACAAGTCACATTCTTCTGGTCTCTAGCCTGATGCCTTAACTACTATCCCTGGATCAATGCATCCTTTTAAAATAAAAAATGCTGGATATTTGCAATGAGAGGAGAGGGTGGCTCCACTTCCTGCTCTCTTTGTGAGCGACTGCAAATATTTCCCCTGCCCTTCTGAAGTTTAGTCCTGATCAGATTTACTCAGACATGAATGGGCTTCCAGTAAACTCATCCCCAAGGCAACAGACCTCAAGAATTTTCTCCATCGCTATCGTTGAAGGGGAAATGGAGTATCTTGCGTTGGCTCAAAAGCTGCATTTCTATTCCTTTTCTTCTCTGCTTTTATTCAAACGTTCTTTTTCTTGGGGTTGACTGTTACTTTCAATTCCTTTTGCTGGACCGCTATGACAATTTGATAATTTACATTCTGCAACGTCTCTTAAGATTGTCCTGATATCGCCTTGCAACAATGGGTTTGAAGAGGATGTACAAGGATTGTTAAACAATACTGTGCTGTTTGATTTGCTCTTTTTGGAAACAAAATAGTGTGTTCCGTTAGTTACTCTTTCAGAATAAGTATCCTGTTTCCCCCGAAAAGACCCAACCGAAAAATAAGCCCCAGCATAATTTTTCAGGATGCTCGTAACATAAGCCCTAACCCAAAAATAAGCCCCAATTAAGAGAGTCAGTAGACGGAGGCGTTTAGTACTATATTTACCCCAAAATAAGTCCTAACTGGAAAATTAGCCATAATGCGCTGTTTTTTGGAGCAAAAATTAATATAAGACCCGATCTTATTTTGGGGAAAACACGGTACATGTTTTATGGGCTCACAGTCCTTAAAGGACAGCTATCACTTAATATAGAAAAGAGAAGCTTACTTATGTTGAACTGGTTTTGTTGAACAATGACCAGATTGTCGACAATATCAAATTTAACATTTACACAGGTGTTTTGTTTTCACGAAATAACAGATGGTGGGATTTTATATATATATATTTTCAGGAATTCCAGAATGGCTTCTACCGCTGATATCATTCAGAATTATCAAAGTATGTTTGCTCATCGATACACTACAGAGGATAAGGAATACCAAAAATACCTCCAGTGTTCTGCCAAACCACCTCCTATAATTGAAGACTGGATGGACAGGTCTGTTAACATTCTCCTTACGTTAAAATTTTGTTGGATGACTGTGGGGAGTCATAATTATGCAGCGTGTGCCATAAAGGCAAAACCCCAAACCAAGATAGCAGAATGCAGAACAAGCCATAAAGCCTAAATATAGCTCGCTCCACAGTGGTTAAGGTCCATTTATCTTAAATGACTGTGTTTGTATGGATTAAAAAGGATTAAATCTGTTTGTATGGATTAAAAATATTTGGTTTTGTGCATATCCTCCTGAAAGAGCTTTATAGATCAACATGCAAATTCCTTCCACATTTTCCCCGATAAAAATGTGGTTATGTACTGTTACCTATGTTAATGGTTTACAGATGTGGTATGATGAGAATTTATAAAAGTTTATCTGCCCATGTTATTCTGTTGGCTCACGTGCGTAAAGGCAAGAGACCAAATATGTCTAAGATTAGAGAGACAATTTACAGTAATTGAATTGCCTGCAGCAGAGTATTTGCTACATCCTGACCTGTATAATGGGTGTAATAACAACTTGATTTATTTATAGTCCCTCTAATATATTTACCAAAATGGCTATTGCTTTCCTGTCCCTGTTTATACATTTCAGTTACTTTTTTTTTTTTTAAATCATTTTAATTGTAAGCTGCTCTCCAAATGCTGTCGTTTTAAGAACACGGGGTTTCCATACAAGAAAATTGAAAAACCTTTATATAAATGGTAATGTTAATAAAACTGTAAACAGCTGTAAAGGTTTATGGAGGCCCAATGGCTTATTTATCCATGGTTTTTGAATAAACTAATATAGTCTAGCTTTGTAAACAGATTAATGGTTTAAGATCGAGGTAGCTAATACAATATATGGACACAACCGGACAAGCAACATTAGGCCTATCGGTCTAGTGGTTGAGGAATCAGGTTAGAAAGCAAGAGGCTGTGAGTTCTAGTCCTGCCTTAGGCATGAAAGCCAGCTGGGTGACTTTGGACCAAGTCCCTCCCTCCCCCCCCTCAGCCCAACAAACCTCACAGGGTTGTTGTTTTGGGGAAAATAGGAGGAAAGTGTGTTGGATATGTTCTTGCCGACTTGTTTGTAAAAATAATAAAGGTGAGATATAAATGAATACATGAATAAACAAACATGCAATAAATATATCTGCATGAATACCAACCAAAATGCACCAATAAAGGAGAATATTTGTAGGTCGGGGTTGAAATGTGGGGTGCTCATTTGGTGCTCTCTGAGCTTGGTAGTTTTCTTGCAGACGTTTCATTACCCAACTAAGTAACATCATCAGTGCTAGTAAGGAGTGCAGTTTGCTGTCAGTTTATATTCTGGTGTCTTGACTGCCTGCCCATCCCCACCCACATAGATAGGCAGGATACCAGGATATAAACTGAGAGCAAACAGTACTCCTTACGAGCACTGACGATGTTTCCCAGTTTGGGTAATGTAATTGTTGTGACCCGCCAGCGGCCAGCAGAGCTGGCAGCAGAGTCAGACAGTGAGGAGGTTGGGGAGGAACATGGGCCAGTCCTGGCAGCTAGGGAAAGCTCGGACGAGGGCTCTGCGTTGGAGGCAGAGAGGGAAATAGACAGCAGTGAGGCAGAGAAACAGCTGGAGCCCGTTCCCAGTGTGTGCATGCACAGAGCTTCCAGAAGACAAGAACAACTCAGAAAGCAGGGTCGACTCTGGAGTAAAGCCAAACCTTGGAATTGATTGCCCCCTCTCATAGGAAACAAAAGAGGAGCGAACGGGGAAGGGGCTTTTGCAGGAAACAATTCATTTGTTTGATAGTTTCAAGAGTGGAAAGTTCTGTTCGTGACTCTAAGAGACTCTGTGCCAAGTTTTGCCTTACTCTACGGTTGGAAACAAGTTACGTGGCAGCTTGCCAAGCGGGATAAGGTTTGTGTTGATAAATATTCCTTTGAAAAACTGTTTGGACAAACCTTGCTGACTGTGAATGAAAGTAATACACAATCGTGTAAATAAAAGAGGTTTTGCCGGGACCAATTCCTGCTTCCTGCTTTTTAAGGGAGGCTAGGTCAGAACAGAAATGTCTACAAGAAAACAAGCAAGCTCAGAGAGCACCAAGGACCCCTCAGCCAAAAACATAACTTTCATGTTTTAACTTTTACAAAGTTAAATGAGTTTCATGAGGTCCTTTTTGAACTTTCAGAGACCCGAGTGTGCCGTCTGTGTCGGAGATCCTCCAGAATTACGAAAATAAGTTTGCCCATCGATTCACTTCCGAAGACGAGGAGTATCAGAAGTATGTTCAACGTCCCGCTGATCCGCCTCCCTTAGTAGAAGGCTGGCGAAATAGATCGAGTGATAACCAGCGATACAGAGATCGGTATTACAGCTGCTTTTTTCTTTTTTAAAAAAAGTTTTTATTATATGGATGGGAAAAAATGTGGACACTGTACAGGTAGTCCTCAACTTACGACCACAATTGAGCCTAAGACTTTTGTTGCTCAGTGAGACGTCCCTTAAGTGAGTTTTGATGGGGGGGGGGCATTTTACGACCTTCCTTGACACTGTTGTTAAGTGGATCACTGCGCTTGTCAAATTAGTAAACGCGAGCGTCAAATGAGTCTGGATTCCCCATTGACCTTTGCTTGTTGCAAAGGGAGACCCCCGTGACACAGCAACCGTCATAAATGTGAGTCGGTCTGAATTTGGATCACGTGGGGATGCTGCAATGGTTGCGTGAGAAACATTGACAAGTCCCCTTTTTCAGTGATCTTGCCACTTCGAACGGTCACTAAATGAACTGTTGAAAGTCAGGGACCCCAGTTTGCAATGCCAGTCCTTTTGGCTGTTCCAAGAAGATTCCCCATCTCTGATTCAGGCGATGCTGAAAGTCGCAGAGATAGTTCAGATTGCTATGAAGAAGTTAGATGTTGGCTTCTTTCTGGTGGTGCCACCCCACTTGGTGGGAGGGTAGATGATGTCAACCAAGAAGTGACGTGGAGTCTTCAGAACAACTTGTTTCTTGGCTTTGTCTCTCTAGAACAAGGGCGGACAAGGCGTGGCCCTTCAGAAGTTGATAAGTGCTTTATATCATTTTTGTCTGTTAGCCAACCTAGCTTTTCTTGTGAAGAGAGCCGAGATGTTGTGAAGACCTAACAAGTTGGGATCTGCCAGAGTTAATGCATCAACCCTGCCCAGCAACTCCTCCTCGAGCTTGTTTGAATTGAATTGCCTTTTCTGCCTGTCTTGGAGGGCAAGAATGTAGAATAATAGAGTTGGAAGTTACCTTTGGAGGCCTTCTAGGCCAATCCTCTGCCCAGGGTAGGAGATCCTATAGCATTCCAGACAAATGACCATCCCCGTCTCTTCTTGAGAACTTCCAGCGTTGGAGAATTCACAGCTTCTGGAGACAAGTTGTTCCGCTGATTAATTGTTCTAACTGTCAGGAAATTTCTCCTTCATTCTAGCTTGGAATCTCCCTTGAATGATCTTCCACACGTTACTTCTTGTCCTACCCCTCAGGCGCTTTGCAGAATCAGTTGACTCCCTCTTCTTTGTAACAGCCCTTCAAGTTCTGGAAGACTGCTACCTTATCACCCTTAGTCCTTCTCTTTGTTAGACTGGAACATACCTAGCTCCCTCAATCATCCATCATATGGTTTAACCTCCAGACTCCTTATGAGAACCAGGAAAAAAGAAGTTAAGTTTTGTTTTTTGTTTTTTGTTTTTTGTTTTTTGTTTTATTTTGATTTGATTTATATGCCACCCTTTTCCGGAGACTCAGGGCGGCTTACAATGCGTTAAGCAAAAGCCTTCATACTTTTGTATATTTATACAAAATCAGCTTATTGCCCCCACAATCCGGGTCCTTATTTTACCTACCTTAGAAAGGATGGAAGGCTGAGTCAACCTTGAGCCTGGTGAGATTTGAACTTGCAGTAATTGCAGGCAGCTGATGTTAATAACAGTGCTTTAGTCTGCTGTGCCACCAGGGCTCTTTGTCCTATCTCCTCCTCCTCCTCCTCCTCCTCCTCCTCCTCCTCCTCCTCCTCCTCTTCTTCTTCTTCTTCTTCTTCTTCTTCTTCTTCTTCTGTATCCATCATCGGATGTTGGCGATCATGTTGACAATCCTATTTTTGTCAACAGCCGTATGAAAAAGTGCTGCTGAGTTTTGTCCAAACCAGTCCCTTAGGTTGTGAAGCCATGATGTTCTTCTTCTGTCTGGACCTCATTTGCCTTCAATCTTTCCCTGGAGGATTAAGTGAAGGATGCCATATTTTTCCGGGTGTCGCATCACATGTCCAAAATATTCTAACTTTTGCTTTTTTTTAATGGTTTTGATGATTTCCCTTGGCTTTCCCAGGTGGCTTATCACCTCCTCATTTCTGATTTTGTCAACCCAGTTTATACGTAACAGCCGCCTGCAAATCCACATTTCAAATGCTTCTAGTTTTCTTCAAGTGGTTTTCTGTCAGAGACCAACTCTCCACTCCGTAGAGCAGGATAGAAAAGATGTAACATCTCACAAGCCTCATTTTCAGTCTTAGGCTAATGTCGTGACTGCAGAAGATCTTTTTTTCATTTTGAAGACTGCTGTTCGCGCTTTCTCTGTCCTTGTCTTTACTTCAGTGGTCATGTCCCAGCTTTCATGTAAATTAGAATCGAGGTACATGATCCTTTCAAATTTTTCTAGTGGTATTCCTTCCGAAGTTATCGGTGGTAAATTAATGGCTTGTTTGCTGACGACCATGATCTTGGTTTTTGAGGTGTTAAGCTTCAAGCCATATTTTTCAGATATATCTGGGTCTCTGTTGATGGGGAGCTGAAGGTCTTCATGCTTACTGGCGAGCAGTCCTACCACTGCTTGTACAAATTCCCCACTTTTTCTTTACTGTCTCCTTCCTTTGTTAACTGAAGTCTTCTCTGGGTGAGGAGGACTAGACACCTCACCCAGCCCCTCAATTCCAGTCAGGAGAAATAAGAATGATAGTGGAACTGCCCTGAGCAACACCTGATTAAATTAGTTGAGAAAAAGGATGGGGGAAAGAAGTGGCTGGGTCCAAATTCTAAATTCCTGGCTCTTCAAAGGTTTCCTAAATGAAAGAAACCCAACATCTTCACACCGAGGAGAAGAACGCAAATATTTGACAAGCCGTCAAATTAATTCTCCCTTTTACACAGACCAAGCCCATTTGGCTCAGCATGACTAAACTAAAAGAAAGCAAGGAGGGAAATTATACACATTAGATATTCATCAGATGTTGATGAATACTACTTCAGAGTTTCTAAATCTACATTTAAAAATATAATTCTCTATTGCTATTAAAATGCCAAAAAGACAAAGTGTTGTGTCACTTTTTGGAAAAGTAGACAAAATTGATGAGTTACAGATAAATCTCTGTAGAAACAACAACTCAAGAGACGCAAATGACGCGGGATAATCTTCTCTTTGAGTAGCTTCATTCATCCTAGATTTAAGGTTCAACTCAATCCCTTGTTCCTCTCTTGCCTTCCCTTCCCCTTTGGCTCAGTCCCACTAGGCAACTAGAATCTGCCTCCAGAATCTTAACAAATCTATGAAGGCCTAATAATTTGCTAAACCATCTCTATACAGCTAGTCCTCAATTTACAACTGTTCATTTAGTGACAAAAGTTACAAGAGCACTTTTTAAAAAAATGACCGATGACTGTTTTTCACACTTAACGACCGTTGCACATCCCCCCCTGGTCATGTGATCAAAACTGCTTGGCAACCGGTTTATATTTATGACTGCCGCAATGTCCCGGGGCTTTGGTGACCTTTCTGGAAAGCAAAATCAACGAGGAAGCCGGATTCATTTAACAACTGTGTCACCAAGTTAACAACTGCAGCAATTCACTTAATGGATGTAGCAGGAAAGGTCGTAAAATGGGGCAAAATCCACCTAAGAAATGTTTCACCTTAGCGAGATAAATATTAGGCTCAATTGTTCATAAGTCAGGTTCTACCGTGTTTTTCCGAAAATAAGACGCTGTCTTATTTTTTTTTTTAACCCAAAATAAGCGCTTGGCCTTATTTTCGGGGAGGTCTTATTATTTTGGGGCGCATGGAACAAGACGGGACTCCTCTTGCCGTCTTACCTGATTTCCCTTAAAACTTTCCTTTTTCAACAAGGCGGGCTGGCCTAACAAATCCTTTTAAATGATTTTAAATTTGTTTGTCTTTTTAAATTTTGGGCCAAATTGAGATATTTCCTTTTAATCTGTTCTTAATCTTTGTATTATGTATTATGTATTTATGTGTTTTTACTTGGCTGTACACCGCCCTGAGTCCCTAGGGAGAAGGGCGGTATATAAATCTAAAGTAAAATAAAATAAAAAATAAAATTTCCAGCTCTGCCTCTCCAACCCTAACCAGAGGAAATGGTAGCGACCAGCTGTGCATGCATTTAAATATTTTCGGGGAGGGCTTATTTTGGGGGGGGGCTTATTTTAGCGCATGGGCTCAAAAGCCCCATTGGGCTTATTATCAGGGGAGGTCTTATTTTCAGGGGAACAGGGTACCTGTAATATTTTTCTTCTTCTAAATGGATGGGCTGTGCTGGAATAATGCCGGGGATGCAACTCTGAAAATGAGCCTTGCGTTTTAGCATGCCGTGTTTCCCTTTTTCACAGATTCAGGGACAGCCGGCAATTCCGAAACAGGGGACACCGATACGACCACCCAGGAGGCTACAGATCTGAGCAGTGGCACGACAAAGGCTACGGCAGTAACTATCATCAGCACCAACACGGGCAGTCGTCCTATCCTCAACATGGCTGGCCGCAGCGCGGCTACGGGTCGTATTTCCAGGAGCCGCGATACGGCCGCTACTAGCACGCCAGCCTGCCTTGGCATTTCAAGTGTAAACGAGAGCAGCCGCAGGCTTCCAAAGGGTTCCCTTCGTTTTGTTGTATTTCAAACGTTCGTACATCCCGTAGAAATCTTTTCTGTATTTATATGCAAATAAGTTTAACCCAGAAGACGAGAGCCGGTGACGTCGGAGGGGAGCAGCTTAGTGGTGAGTTTGTCACTTCGCTGGTTTTCGTCTTGACGTCTGTAATTTGCTAAGAAGGAAACGGGGCCGCTGGGAGAATCCGACTTTAGCCTAGGGGAGCTGATCTTCTCCGAGTCCTGACTCACGCAGCTTTGTTACCAATGACGAATATCGTGATGAATATCGGTAATATGTCATGATAGGGGGAAAAAAATACTTGGTTGCTTTTGTGGGTTTTATTTTGTTTAGGTTCTGGTTTGTTCCTATGTTTATCTGTGCAAGGTGATTACCCTTCCAAGCTTTAATTTGCAAGCGATTAAGCTAAAATGTCACATAAACAGGGAGATGATTGTAAAAAACGTGCTGCATTTTGAAGGCCTGTTTTGTTTTTGCATTAAAGCTAAAATTCGTTATAATTAAACGGCGTCCCGTTGTATCTGTGCTCCAATTTCAGCAAAGTGAGCGATTATTGTTAAGGATATTCTTGGCTCATAACCGATGTTGTGGGTTATTGAGCAAAGTGCCCTTTGAGTAAACGCATGAAAAGCGACTGAGAGTGGTTGTGAACAATCACAGTTAACAAACAAACACACTGAGTTGTTGTAGTCTTTTACTTTTAGAAAAAAAGTAAAGCAAAGTCCCAAAACAATCCAAGTCATGCACAGATAAGACAAGAGTTAAAAGATCAATCCAGGGATATTTCAAGTACAAAGTCTTCTTACCAGTTGTAGTCATACACAATAAAACAGTTCTTCTTGAGTTTCAAAACAGGAACAAGTTCAATATAAAACATTCAATAAATAGTAGAAAGCAACATGTAGCTATGATCAAACAGTGATCATGCAGAGAGATCAGGTAGAGAGTTACAGCAAATAAGCAGGTAAAATGGTGTAGTATCCACACAAGCCATGATCCTGACTTCCCTTAAGTACATTGGCTACAGAGCTTAGCCAATCAGGATACAGGATGATGCAATACAGTCTTAAAGCAATACAATACCTTTCTGACTGCAAACATACATTGTTGGTTTATATATTGCCTGACCAACTAGTTAGACAAATAACCATTTCCTAACAGTTATCATACATGGAATAATTCGCAACAAAAGGCTGGATTTATTTATTTATTTTTATTCGACCTAAAACCTTCTGTTCTGCTCAGCGGAATTCTCGAAGCGACTACAAAAACAAGCAAAACAAATGCCGCAGCTAGTAGAGGTAGTCCTCAACTTACAACAGTTTCCTTTAGCGACCTTTCAAAGTTACACCGGCACTGAAAAAAAGTGACTCGGGGCCATTTTTCACACTTAACGACCATTGCAGCATCCCCCCCCCATGGTCACCTGATCAAAATTCAGACACTTGTCAATCGACTCCCTATTTTTGACGGTTGCATTGGCCTGGAGTCACGCGATCAACGTTAGCAAACAGTTCGTAAAGCACGTAAAAAATGCAAGTAGAAAAAATAGGGACCACCTTTGGTGGGAAGGGAACAGCGTTCTGTGCGCCTTTGGCATTTAGTTATGCCGGCCACATGACCACGGAGACGTCTTCGGACAGCGCTGGCTCTTCGGCTTTGAAACGGAGATGAGCATCGCCCCCTAGAGTCGGGAACGACTAGCACATATGTGCAAGGGGAACCTTTACCTTTACCTATCCCATTAAGTCACAACATGTGCTGCTGGAGTGATGGGTTATTTAAATCCCAAAAGGGTTATCTGGCAACTTCTGCTTCATGGCTTACGATGTTTTTACTCCAGTGATTTATTTAATAAAAGCGTTAACTTAGCAAAATAGATGAACCAGATCTGTTTGGCACACGAGACAGAAAATCCCATTAGCAGCTCTGCCTTGAAATAAAAATATAATCCAACCGCAGAATAACTTTTATCACCCTTTTCGTACACCGTCCAAATTCAGTGGCTAAACTAAAAAGCGCCTTGACTGATACAAGACCGTGATTTAAGCAGGCAGAGAGCTAAGTCTTACCTGCCTTATTATCAAGAGATGCCTAGTAGAAACACTTGGGTTTCACAGCCGATCTGATAAGCTCCATTAGTGTGGGAAGAACAGAGCCTTTTAATGCCATTGATTAAGTTCCTCAGCAGGATGCATCACAAACAGATTTGCCGGGGCCCTGAGTATAAATGCTATTATGTACTGCTGTTACAGCAAGAGAAGGGGAAGGGGAAAAAGGGGGGAAAAAGGCTGCAGTATAAACAAGAGAAGAAGAAAAACACAACCTTCCCTTTTAAAAGAATGACTAAAAAAGCTTTTGGTTAAAAGTCAGGATATGTTTACGAGATGTATGCGCTGTTAAAAAGAGCATATAGAAGCTGGGAGCTGTGGGTTTTGTTTAACATGTGATCTTCTCTCGCCACAGATCTCCGCTTAAGTCTCACCGAGATCTGGCCCGCGGGGTGCTTAGATCTGGCCCATGAGGCCGCCTTGGAAACAGCGAAGGACTGGCCCGCAGTGCCTCTGCCAGCGAAAATGGAGCTTGGGAAGGCTGCGTACGGCCCTCCCGAGCTTCATTTTCACTGGCAGAGGGCTGCAGGAGGCCGTCGCAGCTGAAACGGAGCTTGTGAGCCCGTTTTCTCTGGCAGAGCACTCGGGCCATCATAGGCACCCCCGACACGAGTGACATCGAGCTGGCCACGCCCACCCTGGCCACGCCTACCTGGTCCCCCTGAGGTCAAACACAACCCTGATGCAGCCCTCAATGAAATCGAGTTTGACCCCCCTGCTTTAAGTCCTGTGGAAAGTGATGCTCGCTCCCTTTCTCCCTGAAATGGTCCCAACACACTAGGAGTCTCTCTCTCTCCCTCTCTCCCTCTCTCTCTCTCTCTCTCTCTCTCTCTCTCTCTCTTCCCCCACTTGCAAAGGAAGTCCTGGAAGGTACGTTCGCTTTCTTCCAGCAGCAGAGACTCACACGCACATACAATCAGAAGGCATTGCAGATTCCAAGAAGAATTCTGATAATTTGCAGATAGGATTCGGAAGTACAGGCTGACCAGCAGGGAGATGAATAGTTGTCTGCCATACCTATTCATCTCCGCCCCTGCCTTTTATCCCCAGAGCTAGGGAGGGGCTTCACTAGCAGCAGTGGCTCTTCCGTCCCAAGGACCGGCCTATAGCTTTCCACTGCTCTCCTCTCCTCTGTTGTCTGTGCATCCGCGCGTCAGGCATTAGACCCAGCTGCTCCTCCTCTTCCTCATCAGTCACCTCCAGATCTGGGGGCTGTTGACTCTCCATCTGAGGGCTGATGGATGGCCCAGGCTCCACCTCTATCCGTCTCTCTCTCTCTCTGCCAGCTCCATTCCCACTTCCCCTCGGAGCTCTCAGATTGCTTTGATGCTGGCTCTGACTCCCACACCACCTCATCTGATTCAGCTGCTGGAGGGGCCGGCATCCAACAGGCCACAAGAAGATGGTGTCCTCCTGCCATCTGTCTTTTATAAACAGCTTTTTCTGAAATCCTAAATTTTGGACAGACAAGGCGCAGAAGCCAGCATGGGATCAGAACGACATTCCACAAGGCAAATTGTTTTTGAAAGTCAATAAAGATGATGCAGCAGGACCAACCTCGTGGCTTCAAGTTATCGGACAGCTGGGATTGTCCGAATTCGTGTTCACAATTAGCCTAAAAGTGGTTTGGCTGAGCCACTGTGGCTGGACCAATGAAGGAGATTGTTTTTTTTTTTTTAATTTGATTTATATGCCGCCCTTCTCCGGAGACTCAGGGCGGCTTACAATGTGCTCAGCAATAGCCTTCATCCTTTTGTATATTTATACAAAGTCAGCTTATTGCCCCCACAACTGGGTCCTCAATTTACCTACCTTAGAAAGGATGGAAGGCTGAGTCAACCTTGAGCCTTGGCGAGATTCGAACCTGCAGTAATTGCAGGCAGCTGGTCTTAATAACCAGCTTAATAACAGGGTGCCTTAGACCGCTGTACTACCAAGGCTCTTCTCATTACCCAGGCCGAAGGCCATCTGTTTCTGCAATGATGCCTTTTAACCACGAGGAAAAGTAGGATGTTCTGTTTTCTTCATTTTTCTCCCCTTCAGAACCTAAAGAGACAAATTAAAACCCTTAAGAGGGAGCAGGCACTGGTCCTTCCCACATGCCTGGAATTGCCCTTACCAGCTATATATAATTATATGCAAATGAGTGCTAAATCAGGATACTCACTCCAAGCACTTCCACCCTGAATGCTTTTTGTTTTCGTTTTTTTTTTTAGAAGCCGGCGCCAAGGAATTCGTTTCCTCTAACCTCTTCCCATTATTTAAAGAAACATGTAGAACCTACACAGCATTTTATTTAAACAACCGTTTAAAATGTTTCTGTCTCATGTTCTATTTTTAAAGGCAATCAGAAGTGGTTTTCTCGGCACTGACCTTCAGGGACCAGAGTAGCAGATTTCCTTTTGACAACAGTTTTTAAAAAAGGAAAGCAAAACTTTATTTTGTGAAATCAGAATGTTGAGCTACAAACATAAGAGCCTTGGTGGCGCAGCAGACTAAAGTGCTGTTAAGTAGCACCAGCTGCCTGCAATTACTGCAACTTCAAATCTCACCAGGCTCAAGGTTGACTCAGCCTTCCATCCTTTCTAAGGTAGGTGAAATGAGGACCCGGATTGTGGGGGCAATAAACTGACTTTGTATAAAAAAGAACACCGCTTAGGAGGGAGGCCCGAAAGCCCTACTAAGCAGGTATATACAAAAGTATGAAGGCTATTGCTTGATGCATTGTAAGCTGCCCTGAGTCTCCGGAGAAGGGCGGCATATAAATCGAACCAATAAATAAATAAATAAATAAATAAATAAATAAATAAGTGTGTGTGTGTGTGTGTGTGTGTGTGTGTGTAGGACTGCTCTTGTCATTTGCATCCCCTCTTGTGGCTGTGTGTTGCTTCCCATTTCTATTACACATGGACACAGGGTAGTCTAGTCTAGTCCAGTGAAAAGAAGGTCTAGGGGAGACATGATAGCAATGTTCCAATATTTGAGGGGCTGCCACAAAGAAGAGGGAGTCAAGCTACTCTCCAAAGCACCCAAAGGCAGGACTGTTGTGGCCCGCCAGCGGCCTGTGCAGCTGGTAGCTGATTCCGACAGCAAGGAGTCTGGTGTGGTGATTCGCCAGCAGCCTGTGCAGCTGGCACTCGAGTCAGACAATGAGGAGGCTGGAGAAGATGTGGTGCCAGAAGCAGGGATTCAGCCAGGGCCTTCAGAACCTCCAGAAGCTCCCATAAGTGAAGAGGAAGAAGAGGAGGAACCTCTTTTCAATGCAGGGGCGCGCAGAGCTGCCAAAAGGCAGGAATGGCTCCTCAGGAAGAGGTCTCCTCGAGAGTAAGGCTTGGGGCTAATTGGCCACTCCCCTAGCCTATTTAAGGAATGACGTCGACTGAGGCAATTTGCA